TGGAGTATCGACGGTCTGCATGTTTCTAATGGGAGAGAGGGCTCTGGCGAATGAAATCACTGTGAAGAAAACTTTCTCGCTCCCCGAATGTTTTCCATTCATGACATCAACTACTGAGTGGAACATACCAGAAGCGGAGAATTTTTCAGATCATGGCGCTTCAGCCGCCGCTGCAGAGTCCCAAAGGAGATGAGCCGACGACTTGGTGGGTTGCGCTCACGATACCGCTTGAATTTCGGGACAAAATTGCACCTTGCCTTCGGGGAGGCAGTCTACATATTATTTCCCTAACTGACGAGTAGGCGGCTTACTTTATAGTCGAACTGGAGTATCACGGCTACAAATGTGACCGAAGAGATCAAGAACTTCACAAAGGTCGAGATGTCATGGTACAAGCACGCAACTCTTGGTACATCCCATTCCTCTCTGAACTTCAGGACCGCGAGCTCGATCGGGGTCTCGGGCCGGAGTTGCTTCGTAAGATAATATTCTGTGCGGAGACCTATCGAAATGACCTCCGAGCTCCGTCTCGCCAGCAGGTATAACTGGAGCGCGGAACTCGAAATTTCCGCGAACATTGAGAATCTCCCCTGGAAAAATCCCAAGCGGAGAGTCGCGAGAAATGGAAAATCGTCACCATAAGCAGCACCATGTAGAGCATCGCGAGTATTTTCGCGAAAAGAGAATTCAGCTTCAGGATTCCGTCCCGTGTTTCCCATTTTTCCTCGACTGAGCGGAGAGGATCATGACCGAACCTTATCCCGTCGAGGATCCTGGAACTGCGATTTCTCAAGTTTTCGAGGATGTCGGTATATATCATGAAGAACTGATCATATTCAAATCGTTGTGGATCACCAAGATTTCACGGGAAACTGATAGAAATGTAGAATCCGTGGATACCGCCTCAAGTCCTTCAACAATGGCAGGGAATACACAGAGGGCAGGAACGACGACCTGACTGAAATTTCGACCGTTGCCCTGGAGAAGTTCTTCGACTTCTGCGTGGTGTATCGCCAACACAGAAACTACGCACGCTCCAGAGATAGAAGTAAATATACGCGCCCAAATCGACTCGTAATCGTCCGCGACACTGACTTCTCTCGGCTCGAGGCTTTGGGAAAGGTAGAATACGGGTATGCCGAAGGCAAGCAAGAGCAGCTTAAAAATGGCGGCAAATCTCGACGCTCTTTTCCTCCACGGAATGTCGGTATTTCCCAGCGCTAGGCCTTGGTACAAACAGACGAGTCGGAAAATGTGGTCATATCGGGTTGTTCGTGACTCGGTTTGGAGATCATCGCTGGTCGTCTCCGGAGGCACCATGATGCTCGACGAACGTCTCGATGCCTATTAAAGACATTGTTCGGAACACTATGACGCATCGCGAACTTTCCGCAGCCGATCGATCTAGAATCGACGATTAGATCACTAGCTGGGATTGCGATAGCTCGAGCGACCAACCAGCACAGACATCGCGGCCTCTTCAAGTACTAGACTGAGGGCCTGAAATCGATCCCCTCTCTCCTCGGAGACTTCAAATAAATACGCAGTCTCTAACTCAGTCGGGTAATGGGCGTAGAACTACGCTTTTCTGAATTATTTCCGACTTTCCGAGGAACTTCAAGACTGATACATCAAGTCATCAGGTACTCATTGCACAACGCTCCAACCATTCTGGAAAACCATTCCGTAACTGCCGTGAATAGGTTTCCGAGCTAGTTGTGAGAGAGTGTGACATCATAGAAACAGGCGAATGGGGCCTTGCGCCGTGCATCGAGAAATGAATGGTACCCATACTTCGCTCCAGGATCAATGAGAAACAATGCTCGTTCCTTAACGGTGTGATGCTTCGCATTTGTCTGAAATGCACTAGAAACTCAAACCGTACTGAATACCGTTCCTTAACACCCGTGAATAGGTTTCCGAGCAAATTATGAGAGGGTGTGACGTCATGGAAACAGGCGAATCGAGTCTTACGCTACGCATAGAGAAATTAATGGTACCCGTACTTCGCCCCGGGATCAATGCGAAATATAATACCATGCGATGCTCGTCCTATACGGCGTAATTATCCGCAATGGTTTAAAATGCACTCATTCATTTTTAACCTGTATAGAATGTTTCCTCTTATTCCTTTTAGGTTGGCTCCTCGAAGTATGATGTGACATCAAGAGCTTCTGACATGAGTTTTTCCCAATCGGCTTCCCCTCTAAATGCCTCACGGGTCCGAATATTTGTTCCACAAAACGTAACAACCAGAAGGTTGACGGAAGTGGAGTACGTAGACTGAACTACATATGGAATGAATCGTAGGTTTGGGGTTCACCACTGCCATCATAATTCCAGTCGACGTAGTCCCGGAATGAGATTAGAAGACTTTTTCTGACTGCTCTGCTCTCTCTTATCTCCCAGAGATGGAGCAGGCTTCCCGAATCGCCGACGCGACGTCAGCGCTACTGCACTGGCCTCTCACTTCGATTTTATAATTGGAATACATCGTTCAAGAGTTTCTGGAATAGCAATTGGTCCGCTTGAGGTAGTGACATTAAGCGACATGATCGGACGAGAGAACTACCATACTATGAGGTAGTATCTGCTATCTGCTCACAGTGAAAATCGTTTCCGCCATGAAATGATGAGATAACTTCGTATGAATGAGAGACGCCATTTCGACCCGTCGCGGATATCCTTGAATTTTCATTCTTGACCATACTGAAGATCATGATCCCGCGTGCAATCATAGTTTAACCCATCAGAGAATGCTTACGATTAGTTTTAGAGGATTTCGACGATCAAGTTTGTGGCCATTTTTCACGATTCGCACCCCATCTTGTCAACCTACCGGGGGCTAAAGCGTAGTTCTACGCTAAAACACTCTCTGTGGTTATATAACATGGGCTGAGAGTTCTATCCAAAAAACTTTTTCGGGCTGATCCACACAGCCAAGGTTTAACGTCCCGGGTACTGTTATTCACATTGCTTCCGAGGACGGATCCATAGAGCAAATGTACCCAGGAGGATCAAGGCCGAGTACCTGCATATTTTTCCGGCAGCAGGGATCGAACCCACACCGCCTCCTGCGCGAGCGGCGTCGTTGCGGCTATGCACGTTTGCACGAGTCGTGACAAACGCGCTAACCACTCGGCCACCCGTCGGTGAGAGTTCTATCCAGTGCTCACGAAAGACACCTCCCCTCAAGTAGAGGGGTCGGTCCGTGTGTCTGCCGCGGAGTTATTTCGAGAAAAGACCGCCGATAATTTGGAGACTCAGAGACCTAGAGTCTAGAGGGCCAGGCTTCTAAGTAGCGTAGCGGCTCGATCCTTAGAACAACGAGCTCCCGGAACAGACCTAAAATTGAGTCTCCTGGAGTCCTGGAGGATCGGATAGATGAAGCCGCCGGATCGGAGGAGTCGTAGACGACAGAGGAGGAGATCATCACTTGACAGATGCAAGACGCCTATCTGTTCCCAACCGATCTGAGGAACACACTGCACAGTCATCATTAGAGCCTTACGAAGAAGAGAGCTGCCGTGATACTCAGTAGGAGAACGCCGCGACCATGAATTCATAGTCACAGTCGCTCCTTTCCGAACAAAACTTGGCGAGATACTTGAGGTCTCCATCCGAAAATCACTTTGAATTGAATTGAATAGCTCCTTTATTTTAGAGGGTATATGCAGTGTTCGACAACAAAAGCAGAACATCACAGCCCATGGTTTCTAATGGCATGTAACAACAAGATATTACTTCGGAGCCCATCGGGAGCATAGAAGGTCGCGTGGTCAATAATACCCTGTTCCCGGATAGGAACGTATGCTCTCTAATAGTGGGGCATGCCCTTCTATTTTTCGAGCTTCCGAAACATGCCCCTATATCGGAGAGTGCCCGGATATTTGAGAGTGCCCCTCTATATTTTCAATATCCCGAGAATGGATTACAGCCCATAGCCCGCCGTGCGGAGCGTGCCCATTCATTTCCCAACCACCTCGTGGAGTTCTCAACGAATCAGGAGCAATCATCGGATCATCCTCCAATCAGGAGCAGTTCTCAAGAAATCATTTTCTATTCTCCTCAAGAAGGTGCCCCTCTAATAGAGAGTGCCTGTATATTAGAGAGTGCCCTTCTATATCTTCATCTTCCGAAAAGGTGCCCGTCTAATGGAGAGGACCCGAATGAAAGAGAGTGCCCCACTGTTAGAGAGAATACGGTATCTCCAAAGGTCTCCTTGATAGATGTATGTCTCGCAGCTCGGTTAAACCTAGGTTCCATACCTGCTGATTCAGAATATCAATCAATGGATTAGCGGGCTGACGATGCTGACCGGGAGCAAGCACAATGGGGAGCGACTCCGCTAGCTTGTTGATGGAACCCGGGAGCATCTCGATGGCATTTGCCGTGGGCTGCCGTCCCCGACGGAATCGGATGGATTCGCTCCTTCGTACACTTGCCGAGAGCCCATCGAGAACGGATGTCTCTCGATTTGGCGTGTAGAACCACCAAGTGATCGAGAACACGAGTCGTAGTTTGAGCGGCTACGGACTGAATGAATTTATTGCTTCGTCGTCTCCGCGTAATAATATGGAAATGTGCGGCGCCCGCCACACACCTCCCCCCCAGTGTTGCTGTGCCAACACGTGTCAAACTTCGTAGTCCTGAAGATGTCTTCGAGTGTGCGGCGCCCGCCACGCACTCGAATCATAGTTCAAATTTTCCAGGAGCTAGGACCTAGCTGCGAGGATGGTTGAAGCTGGCTCCTGGAATATGACAGAAGTCGGCCTTCCACGACACCCGTGGACCTGCGGGGAGTCCCACATGAAGGGACGTGCGCTTCGTTTCATTGCCCGATCATCAGTTCATTCCTACCACGTGTTTTGCTTCGCAGAATGTAAGCGAGCGCGTCTCCTTCTCGGAACCGGCTTCCTTTCAGCTCCTCGTTGCTCCTAATCGCACTCAATCGACTTTCATCTGACGGTTTATCTGCTTCGAAAAAAAACCGATCCGAATTGAAGCGCCGAGCGCGCATAAATGTCGCTCCATGTGAAGATTTATTTGCGTTCTGTGTGCGCCTCTCATATACAATAGTCTCGTTACGCAAAGTTCAGAGGGCTCTACGGGGCGCAGGACTTCATTCGAATGATCCGCGTGCTAGGTACGTCTGAATCGTTGCGTTCCTTCCTCGTCCGCCAGGTCACTCGTAACCAAACGCACTGTTCATCCGTAGCTTTAAATTGTGATTTTGAAGGATTTCCGTGAAACATGTATCCCTCACGATCGACATTATGATGTTCACTTTCCAGCTTCGTTCGCCAATTTTTCTTCCTCGCCACAGGATCCCGCTCATGTTCGCTGCGTAAAGTTCCCGTGAAAAACATGTCCTCGGTCTTGGAAGAGTGAATATACGAAAATAGCTTCGATCCGATCGGTCTTGATCTACCCCAGTATCTCTCAATTTAGATATTTTCCATTTTTCATGGAATGAGCCAAGCCGAGGCAGGAGAGCACAAGCAATCAATCCTGATGGAATCAGAAGCTGAACCTTGGTCAGAAGACTATTCCTTCGCCCGGGACCGTCGACTGCATTCAGGTGTCTGCTGACGGAGCCGATTTGTGGCGATTAGTTAAAGCTTTCTCCAGTGCTTTGAGGTGCTCCGATTTCTTCTGATCGTCTTCGACGCCGTCCTTGCATCGCAGCCCGTTAACGACGTTCAACGTTTTGCTGAAGTAGATCTCGCTGAGACTGACTTTGATCTTGTTTTCAGCTTCCTCGATCATTTTCCCGATGTTCACGATATGGGGATTGATGTCCGTCACCTGCATATCTTGTTCCTGGGAGAGAGACAGGGGAAATAATAAGATCGGAGATCGGGGGACTTCCCGAGGGGAATTGTGTTTTGAATTTTTGAACAGAGTACTCACGAACTGTCGCATGAGCGATCCACCGAGAGAAACGGTACCGGAGGCGGGGAACATCGTCTTTAGCCAGAGCATCACGGTTGACGTCAACTTGTAGTGAGCGTTTTTGCCGGACGATTTCTCTTGGACTTCAATGACATGAATCGAGTCCCAAGAACCTTGAATTTTCCCGGAATTGTCTCCGCCCTGTGGAAAGAGAGGATCAGATCCCGAACCAATGACGACGTTGTCTTTCCGAATCCCGAGCGCTCCATCTGGGGCTGCTCCACGAGAGCAGAAATGGTTCCTTTACCTTTTTGATGAGCACGACTCCAGCGAAGCCGTTCCCCGAAAGCTCCCACAAGTAAACAGAGGACACTCCACCTTCGTAATAGAGCTGTCTGTATTGCTCAAAGACTTGATTAGCCTCCTCCTCGAGGCGTCGAAGTCTGTCCGTCGGGACCGCTCCGTCTTCGAGCGGAGGATCGTACCGATTGCTCCAAGGAGATCTGTGGGGCACGAGAATATCTACTGTAGGAGAACTGCGTCAGGGAGGATGACTCCCAGAGCTGTCTCTTGGCGGCGCTGACGGCCTGGTTGCCGTGGTTGGCATTGAGCACTAAGAGACCTAGCGAGATTCCGATCCGGTCTAGCGAAGCTCCTCACCTGTACGAATCCCCATCTCTGTTGTAGTCGCATAGAAGATATTCCTTGCCGACCAGATTATCTCGAGCGACTTTCAGCGGTTGATCTATCGACGATAGAAGATCTTCGCATAGGCCCGGCACCAAGTCAACCAATTCGCCCAAGCTGGTGTCGATTCTCTCTGGCGGAAGACGTCGCATGAGATCCAGCGCCGCATCCAATTGCGCATCGGTCTGGAAACGGAATGATAGATTTTCCGTAGATCAGAACCTACGCGAGGTTCATCGCAATCGCGGAGCATTCCCGAGTCAGGATTGGAATAGGGTTGAATAAATTCGTTGGCGAGCGGTCGGATTTTTCGCCATCGCATCTCTCGGCTCAGACGGGAAAAACGCGCTCCGGATTCCTAAACAGAGAATCGCGCGATTCATCCGTGTCAGCGGTGATCCCAGCAGGAACCTAGAGTGACTTGACCATGAAGATTGTTCAGCGAGGCCTAACATGTGAGTCGTTGCCAGGTCATAACTTTGTTAGTCACTTTTGCGGAGTCCGCTCTCTGGCGGGGTCTATGAGTCTCGACTTAAAGGATAGAACGTGAAGCCACCATGATGTCATTCCTCAAAGAGATTCCGGGAGAAGACTTTGGAGAAGTATGAAGACCTCTGTCAGCACAACGGGCCGTAGACTGCCTCCGCGTCCCGGGAGCATGGACGGCGTGCCAATTCATCGTCGTGATGACGAACAGGCCGAAAGAGCCTTCTATGGGAACTTTGATCCGCTCTGGCCTTCTCAGAAGAAGCCGTCGACAACCTTGGAGTAGTTTCGGACTAGGAGTCTCACGTCACCTGGATCGGGACTGATGGTACCGTCCGTCAATCGTGGATCCGGATGATCCGATGATGGGAATGTACGGAAGAATCAAAGGGAATCCCTAGGGGATCTAAATATCTCCTTGGGGGAGTTCTACTCCCATTGGGGTGTCAAAAGTCAGCTCCCCGTCTGACGCGGGAGGCTCCATCGTCTCGGAGTCCGCAAACCAATCTGCCGGATGGCAGTTGAGTCGATGGAGGCAGGATGTCTGACAATCACAGGCTCCGTTTCGTCGAGAGCCTATGCAATCGCAGATTCCCGATACCGATGTTCTAGGACTTTGCCGGCTTCTGAGCGAGCACGGATCGAGGTACGGCAGATGTTAATGATCGCGCCTTTCTGAGATACCAAATATGTCGAGGAACATACGAAGGATCACTGATAACTTGACTCACCGACATGACAGGCTTCTCAATGGAATTCAGTAGCTGTCAGTCTCATTCATCATACTGCTGTCTGTTTCCAGAGTCTGTTTACGGACGGCGCTTTACGAAGCGGTGGCAGCAGCAACACACACCTCCTCTGTGTATGTGTGTCCTGGTTTTCGGCGCCATATCGGCCAATACGCAGTCTCTGGTCGACAAGCGCCCGTATTCGAGCGTCGATCGGCTCCTCGAGAGTGGAGCAATCTCAGGAGAAAACTTTGGGGGTTGTCATGCTCGTTGACGTCAGAAAACGTCGGAGAATTTTCGGATAACTTTCGAAGTAATGCCAGGCCCGTGAGCCTGTAGCAGACAACTCTTCGTTGCCGCGAAATTCGAAAGCCGCGGCATTCGAAAACCGCGAGCGCAATAGACTTGATTGTGTCGTCCTCTCGAACGCGCTCATGCGGTTTCTTTCACCCATTCTCCGACAATAGGGGACAGAGCAAGACTTTTATCCTCGATCTCATCACGAGGAATATTCTTTGGGGAAGTGTTCTTCTAGTGGGCCGAAGCTCTCGATTCCGCTCTGAAGTTCGCCCGCAGGTTCGTACATAATCGGCTCATAAGGGAGCTTGCCCATGCTTGCTCGGTGGATCAGTATGGAGACTTCCTAGACGTCGACCATCCCGCTTTCCTCTGTTTCCCATCAACCGAGCACCGCGCCAGGCGAGGTTTGAAATTCCGAGACCGGGAGGCGCATATGTATGTTATGCGCGACCTTTCCGTTTCATCCCTCAGGGCATCGGGCCATGTCGATGGGTCTATCCCTCATCGTGCCTTCCTTCTATTCGCATGACTTTTCCGAATCGATAGTTTCTCCCCGTCGAGCCCGGCGTCAATCGAGCGTGGATCAGAAAAGTTTTCCTCATTGGTTCCTACCCGGTGAGGGGGAGTGATGCAGGTGAAGCTTCTCCTCCTAACTCCGACTATCGCTCGCTTCGTTGAGATTCCGGATCACATCCGCTCGCCTCGGCTCTTTTTTTCGAGCGACGAATTCATTCGCATTGTCGCCTTTTCTGCCTTCTCTTCAGCTGGATTTCTCTCCACCGACGAGATCAGAGGCATCATCAAGCTTTCGAATCAATAATTCGCATGGGAGATACTTCCGGCAATGCCGCAGCAGCCCTCGAATCATCATCGAATGCCAACGGCCTCGCATGTGATAACGATTTTTATTGAGTCGATCACCCCAATGTGGAACCGATCACCTCCATCGAGACGTCAATCACCCAGAGTCGCGATTCTCCCCAATATTTTGAAATCAAATTGAAGTATCACTGCTACCCAGGCGATAGCAAAACCTAGAAATCGAACAAAGCTAGAAAGGTTGTTAGTGAACACCGCGACTGTGAGAACATCTAGTTCTTCGCGGTACCGAAAAGCCTCGAATTCTGGCGATAGTCCAAATCGTAATCGCCTCGATAGATGGAATTCTGCTCGCATGCTCGTTGAGGCAAGAATGGAGCTTCTCCTCGCTAAGTCTAGCAGATGGAGTCCGGCGCTTGCAGCGTGCAAGCAGAGTGTCCATTGATAAAGAGCGGAATCAGTGAGTCCCGTCAAACAGGAGATGTAAAATATCATGTCCGTTAAAAATTTCAAATAACCAATGCCAAGGATTTTCGAAAAGTCCGAGTTCGTTCTCCGTATGCCATCTCGAACCTCCCATTTAGCAGATGGGCTCAAGTTCTTGTTCGCGAGAATCAATTCCAGGATCTCTAAGTTCTGACGGGTCAGGGTGATGACGATGTCCGCGTATATCACATAAAGGGCAGCCAAGGTCCACACCGCGTGGATTGAACCAATCGAGACTACAATTAGAGAAGTCTGCCCGATGAAGAGTACATTGAGTTTAAGAACTTCCGCTACGGTAAGAAAGGTCGCGCAAAGAAGGGGCAGGATCATGTCTCGCAGACGCTTGTCATTAGGCTGCAGGAGCTTCTGAATAGCTACGCGTCCTGTCGAAAGGACGATCAGCGCATAGAGGCCCGAGAGTATGAAGAGAAAGTAACCAAGAAGATTCGTGACATCAGCGACGCCGAGACTCATACCGGTGGAGGCTGTCCGTGAAACGAGAGTTGCGATTGAGGGAGCGTACGCCACGCACCTCAGAACCAGCAGAAGCTTCTGTACTCTACGCATTGGAAGCTCTTGGTCGATTCCGATCTCCAATCCATGCGCTGAACACGCGAGACGGAAAACCGTGTTGGTGAACGTTCCGGAGGCTCGTACAGCGGCTGCTCGGCATACCGTGATCGATTCAGCGGATTCCATGATGGTGAGTGGCTCATCGGATTCCTCGAGGGGAGCCCGCGAGGTCAATTTGACTTCATAAGGGTGTACGGACCATCGATGCGGAGCCTGTCCGCGCGAGGAATCCGAGTGACACAATGAGACCCTCCCGGCGAGGTGAGAAGTCAAGGGAGGGCGTTTTACTCGACAGTTCTCGCTCAAGAGGACTTCGCAAGAGAAGAAGGCTTCGATGACAAAGCACTTACCCGAGCATGCTACGGCCTCGAATTACTATCATCGATCGCGCCAAAGCAGCTGAAGCTGATTATGGCTGAGGCAGAAGCTCTCAACGGCTGGCCCGACCCCAGCATGAGGGCTCCGATACAGGACGAAGTCGCTTTTATCTCACTCGGGTTGCTCGTTCAAGAGGTTGGAAAATCGATTCTTCCATCACGGATAACTTCAAATTCGATCGGATCACTTCGAGGTATCAAAACTGGATGATATTTCACCTGGGAGACCTGATGAAATGATATCACATCTCTGCGGTGCTTGCGTATGAGGAACTTTACCTAGGAGGATCCCTATTTCCTCTACGGGTGAGCCTCCCTGTCATGCGATTGGGGAGGGTGTACCCGTCTGGGTAAAAATGTGGTATGTATTTAGGCCAAATTAGCTTGCTGGATCAGATGGAAATCATCAGAAGATAGACTCGAGCAGAGGGGGACATCAATCTCCACCTGTCTCGGCAGCTAGAAGTCGAGCCAGTCGAGCCAAATGCGAGAATTCGCGGCGTTTTCGGTTTCCCGAACACTGAAGGGGTGTGTTGAAGGCGTTGGCTGGCTGTGCTGCGGTCGACACCGGGCGAATTGGAGCCTTTTTCGGATTCTCCCTTCAAGAGAGCAGGAATCCTCCTTTAGGTTGCAATCCAATGGATTCCGAGCGAGTTTCCGAACATCGAAAGTCTGGAGGTTGATATCATCGGATACCCACGTGAGTCGATGGAAACTCGATTAGGTTCATGACCTGCACGATTCTATGACAGGTCTCTGACACGAATTAGGTCGGATGATGGAGTTCGCGCTTTATGAGCGCTCTCCACCTTCCCCTCTATTAGGATCGATTCCTCGAGTGGATCAGGGTTTTGACGACTACTTTGAGCTTGATGCTGATTGACACGGGTCTGACCTAGATGAGAATTCGCTCTGAGCGGAACACAAGCTCTCGATAGCCTATAGGCATGTTCGATCAATGACTTCTCGACTTCCTCGGGATGTTGCAATCAAAGAAGGATCCAGACAAGCGCGAACCTTCCCCCCTTAAGCGTTCTCCTCGGAGTCTCGTAGTGAAAATTCTTGATAATCTGAATAGGAGCGGAGGACTAACCTACATCGTATGGGAAGAAATGCTCATGCCTGAAAACAGCCCGGGAACCCCACGGAACCGGGAATTCTGCCATTTGAGTCCACGAGTGCACATAGCGCGGGGGACTCGTTTTGTTACCGATGAAGGGGTTTGACTCCATGTAGGAATCCGGAGAGCGACTCGAATCTGTGCGAGTATCGGAAGAGTAAGGGGTCGGAGCGATTACCCTCTGGATCGAGAATTCCTGGTTCCGCCACTGCTCGACTTGGTTCTTCAAAGGGGTTCATTTCGAGAGCGGGTCGCGTCCAGGATCCCGGCCAGAAGACGCACTTGGATTCGAAAACCACCGGAACATTCCAGAACGTGAGATCGGGTTCGGCCGAGCTGTTCATTTTCTGTACAATCTTGTGATCGAATTGCAATACGACCGCCGCGGTTGTGACCACGAACAGCCCGAAGCTGATGAAACCATCCAAGCTAAGCGTGAAACGCGATACGCGAAGAGGGTACCGCTCTTCTCGGAATCGGGAGATCGCTGTGACTTCAATCTGAATTCCTGGTTTCTGCATCCCCGGCGTCATTTCGAGCAGTCTCATTAGGTGATTTTCCGTTTCCAGGGGTCGCGACCTGAGCTGAGGACCTTTCTGGGCGGTATAGAAAAGCTCCGGTACGAATGACGCCATGCATCCCATTATGAGGAACTCGTCGTGACGATGCCGGGCGTCGCCTTGCTGGACGTAGACAGCTGACACGAGAAGCTGAACGTACTGCAGGGACACGGGGATGTCGAACAGAGCATTGACGGTTTGGATCCTCTCCCGAATCCTCCATTTATCGAATTCTAGACGGGCCCAGGTCACTTCTTGCGTCTGCTGTTACAAACCCGAAGGTTTGCGTGGGTTGACGGAAGTCGAGAGACGACGAGGAAATCCGCTGGAGAAAGGTCTCCCGGGACACCGCGGTCGCAGGGGATTCCGGACGTGCTGGTCCGCTGAAGGCAACTTTGTGTGTGTCTCCGCGCACGACAGTCTCCGTTGGAGGGCTGCCGTCGGGGAAAGGGGGAAAGCCCTGCGAGGGCAACGAAGACCGGAGAGACTCTCATTTATTGGTACCAAAGATTAGAAATGGCCGAGCTCCTCACATTCTCGCTCATCTCTAGACAGCCTCCTCGTATCACATGCTCGAGTAATGAGGCGAGACTTCGCACACTTTCGCCACGACAGATCTCGGTAAGAGAGCGCGGAGGTGTAAAACCTTAGGCCAAGCATCCGGTCATTCATGGTAGAATTTTAGTATCGCGGGAACCTCGCCCAAAGAGAGTCCCTCGCGGAACTTAACGAGCTCCACAAAATCCCAGGCGAGATTTTGGAGGCGTTGGAAGGCACGGAGTCTCATCTCCCAGGGATCGACAAAAATCAGTTCTTCTCCCATATTTAGGCAACCGATGGTGATGCAGGAGAAAGAGCCGTCAGGCTCG